TGCTACACCACACTGTAGTTAAAAAGCATCAGGTTCTCTGAGCATGCAGGGCAGCTGCAGCGGACAGTGCATCTGAGGAATTGAGAAGATCTCCCGACTATTTCGACCACTAGATTACCATTGCGCCCAGCTTCCCGTCGCAAATTTTTACACCATAGCAGGCTGTGCCGCAGACCTGTTTGTCTATACCATATGTCCAAGTTTGTGAAGATGTCTAATCCTGCCGCAGCTGCAGTATATATAGCAACATTAATGGTCACTGCAACTAGAAAATGGCAAACGCAGATTGCACTGCGGAGCTATCCCCGCCTCCGTCCTGCGCTCCCCATGTAACAATGGATCCATTGTGTCGCACTGCTGCAAACGCTTTGGCAGACCCATGTATGAACTTGACACCCGTCAGCATACCTGGACTGTTGATGCTTCCACCGACGTCTGGGAGGCCCCAGATGACGACTGTGTCATCGGTGCGAAGGGCTGCGAAAGCTCCTGAAGTTGAAAAAATCTCTTGGACATCTTGAAGCTGCGCCTGGACGGAACAGCTGTTGCCTCCACTGGCTTCGGAGCCCCAAGTAACTACTGAACCGTCTTGCCGGAGGGCTGCAAAGGAGTTCATTGTGGAGCAGATCTGGCGCACAGAAGTCAGCTGATGCTTGACCGCAGACATGCCAATGCCTGATGTGCACATGCCCCCCCAATAAATGAGTGACCAATCTTCAAGAATGGCAAAGAACCCTTTCAAAGAGGGTGTGACTCGCCGGACTTTCTGTTGCAGCTTGCTTCGTATCACAGAACTATCGCCTCCCAAGGTGGCGTCTCCCCAGGTGACAAGCGACCCTTCCTCCGTGACAGCTGCAAATGCAGAAGGGTTGCCCTGAACATTCACAATGCCTTGAAGTCGGTCTTGGACCATCGAGCTGTCTCCTCCATTACTAGGGTCTCCCCAAGCAACCACAGACCCATCCAACAAAATGGCAGCGAATGCAGTATCCGTGCTGTGAATCTGCGTCACTCCCTTCAATTTGGCTTGGACAGCAGAACTATCTCCACCACAAAACACATCACCCCAGGTGACGACAGACCCATCATGACGAAGGGCGGCAAATGCACCCTGGGCAGCTGCAGTCACGCTTCTCACATCATAGAGCTGCTGTCGTACCATTGCAGTGTCAGCTACCATCTTCGGCTTGCCCCAGGTAACAACAGATCCGTCTGATGTCACCGCGGCAAAAGCGCCGGCGCTGGCAACGATCTGCACCACTTTGCGCAGGCGTTCGCACGAATCAGAGCTGTCGGAGCCGTAGGCAGGATGCCCCCATGTCACTACACGGTCATTGTGACACCACAGAGCAAAGGCTTGCCAGGTTGAAGCTAGACAAGGGAAACGCGCGACACATGTAACGCAGCGTGCGCTTGCAGCCGGAGCAATCATTTCATCGACCCGCAACACCGCACCTCGCGCGTCCAGGATGACCAAGAACTGTTGATCGAAGCATCGCTGCAAAATCTCTTTGAGTTCCTGAACCTTGGCTGATACTGCTAGCGTGACAGTCTGCTGTTTCCCACTGGGCAGTACCGCAGTTATGTCTTGCGTTTCCATGGCGGCCAATGCAGCGAATGTATTTGTCTAAGTCAATTTCCCGGCTCGGAGAGCACAGGTGGGCAACAGTAGCTCAGGCGATCATCAAACTTGAGCACAACGGGAGCGACAGTTGCAAATAGGCACATGCATGCAACATGGCACTGCAACTTTGATGCAAACAAGGAAACCATGATGCAGCACAGCTGCTGCAAGGACTGCGAACCAGGAAAATCGAGAAAAACAATTGAAAATAATGAGAAGGTGTTTGACGCAAACAAGGACACCATGGTGCAGTACAGCTGCAGCGCGGTCTGCGAACCTGGAAAACTGGGAAAGATTGAAAATCATGAGAGGCGAATGGTTTTGAAGTAATAATGGCATCATGCAGCCATGCAGCATGACACAAACAACAACCAAGCCAGCCGGCTTTTTCCGCGCTTTTCGAACGAAGCTGAATCGTTTCTTGGCCCTTGTTGAGACAGCTGATCTGAAATCATTGGGGAGCAGCTAAAGCCCCCAACATTCACCAAAGGTATATTCCCAAGCCATGCATGGCCGTGGAAGCAAGTGCTAGCAAAGTTCCACAGTAGCCCGGCGACTGCCAGAAGTTGGGCAACTCTCACAACAGCTTGATGAAGATGCGCGCTGGTCCGGCGATGGATGCGTGCTATCAGGAATGGGCAAGTTTCACTGACCCGACTCTGTGAGATTCTCTTGGGCCGAAAAGTGCGCAGCGTATAAAGCTGACATGACTCAAAACGAAATCTTTCGGAAACATCTGAAACAAGCAGCAAGATTCGAAATCAAGGTTCTAAAGTTCACGTTATCTGTCAATGCCGATCCTGCCCGCAAAGACAACATCACTCCACCAAATTCAACCCCGGCCTCGGACATGAGCATGAAGATAAACTGCAAACAAACGACTTCAAATAGGGCAGCCGTGGTAACGGCACAGATGATGAATTTCTGTCGCCGGGAGATCAGTTCCTGACATCTCGCTGTATCACAAACAGAATCTGCAATCTACAGCTCAAGACATTACATACACCAGCACACTTTGCGTCGCTACCTACTGGCCTGGTTCGAACCACTGTACCAAATCTCTATATTTCCATACGGCCCACTGCCTAACCAAGTACGGGTAAATAACATACATCCTTGTGATTAGACTGTTGTATGCTCGAGATACCATCGACAGCCCGGCTCAGAGAGCACAGGTAAGCCAAGGGCCGCTAATCTTGACAGTGGCAAGTGGCACCACCAGATATAGCCAATGTTTGCAAGTTCAGTCACATTGGGAAACAAGAAAGTGATGGCGCCACTGGTCCTTCACATCAATGGCCAAAATATCATCAGTTGAAAGGCTGTCATCTCGCCACAGGATCGCTACAGACTTTTTTGTTGGTCGCTGGCTGCTTGCTGAACAGCCGGAAATTCTGATGCAGTGGTTTGCTTTTGTCAGCCTTCTTCAGCGGAAATTGAACTGAACGCCGTGAAACTTCCTCAAAATCGTGCCCCAGCGGCTTGCTGTGTGTGGAAGGGTGCCATCCCTTTCATCATTGGTGGATGGCCAACGAAGAGGCCAATGATGAGAGCTGCAAACGTACCTGCGACCTTACACCTTCGGACATGGCCAGGTGGCTAAGCCATAAACCACCCATGCCGACATGACATGCTAACATGATAACATGACATTACATGTTTTCATCTCATCTCATTTCACCCTCTCCCTTCGGGGTGTCTCCAAGTGAGTGAATTCAACTATATACCGCGCTAAAATTGCAACCTTACCACGCAGGTCCTGATATGTCACACCTTTTCCAAGATGAAGAGCGCTGGATCACCATGCGTTGAAGTACGGAAGGCACCCTGCCAAAACCGGCACTCGCTGCAATGATCTAACATGAGCAGTGACACGCCAGCAGCCAAGAACCCTTCTACAAACATGAAGCGAATTTCATTTCTCCAGTCTGAGTTACCCTCAGTCTCCAAAATTATACTCAGGGAAATATGTTCGTAAATATTTGCTTTACTTGCAAAAACGGCTGTAAATTTACATAGTTTTTTGGTACATCTATATATATATATACCTATACCTTCTTGATGGGACATTCTTTGTTCAACTGAATTCTTGGATGTTCTTCATTCCTTTCTAATCTTTCTAGGTCCACGCCTTGGCTGAGCCAGCACACATTGCTCACAATGTGCTGCCGACGCGTCGTAGCTAAAGCTTGACTTCGCATAGAGTCAATACAGTTCCTCAATGGTTATGCATTGCAACTAGGAAAGTTGTAAGGAATGAAAGGCTGCAAGAGTTTGGTAGGTTTGGTAGGTTTAGGCCTCTGGGTTTGGCGATGCTGAATTTTGGTTTGGCTTGTTCTGCAAGGTTGGCTTTGCTTGGCTGAAGGTTGTAAGTCTGATGCGATTCTCCAGCTTCCGCTCCAAGTATCGGCAGATTGTAAAAGGTGGGACCTCTGGAGTTTTAACGCTGGCAATTTCTGTCAATGACCTTTCGTTGGGCCTTCACTATCTTCACTTCTCTGCACCCCTTTTTGAGCACCTGAAATGGTTGCAGACAAATCTCCAATTCGACCTCACCAACAGAAAAGGACAGAATCTGCTGCGCAGTACACGCATGGCATCCGATGCTGTCCTCAATTGCTCTGCAGTATTCGCCTCCCTTGGGACGGAATAACATCATATATGTCTATGTATAGGTGAAGGTGTTTAGATGCAATATATACACATTATCTGAATCTGAAGATCTTGACTTGAGGCCAGGGTACGAAAGCTGGTAGGACGGTACTTATGTTGTACCGGAGACTGCTCACCTGAAAGACTATAGGAATCTCTTACTGCCAAAAGGAAGGACCGGATTGAGATCCAAACGGAGGAAAATTGGGGCCTGTCAGTGTATATCGCATGCCCCGCTTGCCCCCTTGCCCCGCTTGCCCCGCTTGCCCCGCTTGCCCCGCTTGCCCCGCTTGCCCCGCTTGCCCCGCTTGCCCCGCTTGCCCCGCTTGCCCCCGCTTGCCCCCGCTTGCCCCGCTTGCCCCGCTTGCCCCGCTTGCCCCGCTTGTCCCGGTTGCCCCGCTTGCCCCGCTTGCACTTGCTCTGCTTACCTCCGCAGCAAGTGCGTCGAGTGCGTCGAGTGGGGCGAGTGGGGCGAGTGGGGCGAGTGGGGCGAGTAGGGCGAGTGGGGCGAGTAGGGCGAGTGGGGCGAGTAGGGCGAGTAGGGCGAGTGGGGTCGAGTAGGGCGAGTGGGGCGAGTGGCCAAAATCAATTAATTTTCCTACCAAGGCAAGTGGGGCGAGTGGGGCGAGTGGCGGATTTCAATTAATTTGCTAGCCCAGGGCAAGTAGGGCGAGTGGGGCGAGTGGGGCGAGTGGCGGTTTTCAATTAGTGTTCCTCGTGGGCGCCCGCAATGCACTTTTGCCTTGACTTGCGACAGCATGGTTGCCCCGCAAAAAAAATAAGCAGCTTGCATGCCCAGCCCCCAGGCAGCTTTTTTTGGGTAAAGAGGTTCACCTGTAAGATACATGCATGCAGCAGCTGTTTTTAATGGCTCAAGGTCATGCCAGGCATCCATCAGAAAATAGAATTAACAAACACTAGGAAAAGACCAGCTCCAGGCCTGAAAGAAGGCCAGGCTCTAAGCAAGAAACTTTTGCAACTTTGGTCCCTGGGGAAATTAAGTAGCTCAGGGCTCCAAGAAATCGCTTTTGCAGCCACTGCAGATGGCTTGCAATGTGAGAGCATAGTGGAATTGAGCGGCTTAGGCACCTTTGGTCAATACCCAAGCAATTGCCATAGAGACCTTGTAAGGCTATTAAGGGCTAGGTTGAAAAAGTCCATGCACGGGGGCTTGCAAGAAAGCCCAACAATTTCCATTCAGGTTCCTGCCTTGGATGCCAAAGAAGAAAATCCAGAGACCAAGGCAGCATGCCACATTGTACTGCCACATTTGCTGGTTTGGCAATTATTCAGCAGCTATCCTAAGTTGGCTCCTTCGCTTTTTGGCCTTCACAAGTTGAAAGCTTTCTGGGAAACTTGAAAAGCAATGACCCCAGGCTGTGGGACAGTGGCTTGAAAGAAAGCCAAAAACACAAAACCATCCCTCTCTGGCTTCATGGAGATGGTGTCGAATTTTCCACAGACTCCTTAATGACATTCACCTGGGGACCCACGCTTTATGCTCCTCAAGGCCTGAAAGAAGGCCCAAGGGAAATGCATCCCAGCCACCCCATGGATAGTTCTTTCCTCATAACTGCATGGCCAAAGTCAGCAGCTGCTTCCAACACATGGGTGG